TGAAAAAGCAGCTTAGCTCATGAGGTTCTGAGAGCTGTTTTTCCAGCATCACTTGGGGGTCTTGCTAAGCTGGGTTTTAGAGTAGTCACATGACGTACAAGATGTGATCTGGCTATATAATATCAAATTTTTAGCCCTTCTCTCTTTGGGGTAGACCTGAGTAATAAACTTAACTAGCTGTAGTAATGAAGCCAAAAATTAGGTTTCCTTGAACTGCTAAGCTAGAGAGAAAAACATGCATTGTTCTTTGAATCAGACTTCTGTGATGGTCTTGCCTAGACTAAATCAGAATACCATCTCTGACTTAAAATTTCAGTAGTCAATTAGTTGGAATGCATTGTTTTTCCGACTTTCTTCTGTTGAGGCTTTTTCATATTGGAAATTTGTCAGTTTGTATGTCTAATTTTATTGTAGAATAATGGTTCATCTGCGGTCTCTTTCTATTTGAATCCTTCCTGCACCATAGCAAATTACTCTTAACTGAAAATACCACATGGTCCTGTTGGATTTTAAGAAACAGCGTCCAAGGGATGCAACCTCAACTCTTGGCCAACAAGACCCTCCAGATGGGCTTCCAGCCAGCCTTTCCAACCCGTGTTGGCAAAGAGAGAAAAAACCGAAGCCTGTGAGGATGCAGGGTGATGGGGCACTCTTCCTTCCCACTTGTTTTGGGGTCTCTGAGGGCAGCAGCCCAGCCCGGCTATGTAAATGAAGGAGCCATTGCTGTATTAGTGCATTGCCACAACTCAGTTTCAGAACAGGAAACTGAAGGGGTGCCTCCTTCATTGAGGAAACTGGGCTGCTAGGTCGGTGACCGCTACAGAGCTGACCTGTCTTTTTTTTCTTTCTTTCTTTCTTTTTTTTTTTTTTTTCCTTTTTTTTGAGACGGAGTCTCGCTCTGTTGCCCAGGCTGGAGTGCAGTGGCGCGATCTCGGCTCACTGCAAGCTCCACCTCCCGGGTGCCAGCGATTCTCCTGCCTCAACCTCCCAAGTAGCTGGGACTACAGGAGCGTGCCACCACCCGCGGCTAATTTTTTTGTATTAGAGACAGGTTTCACCGTGTTAGCCAGGATGGTCTCCATCTCCTGACCTTGTGATCCGCCTACCTTGGGCTCCCAAAGTGCTGGGATTACAGGCGTGAGCCACCGCGCCGGCCGGAGCTGAGCTTTCTAAGGGTCTTGGGAAGTGTGGCTTCCAGTGCTCCTGGAGTTCCAGAAGCGGAAGTGTTCAGGGATTGGTTAACCTTTAGCTACTGAGTCGTGATTACTCCAATGGGGCTGTCATTGATTGGCTGTCCCTCTGAAGCAGGCTCACTGCAGTGAGGCAGTTGTTGATTGGCTGGCCGTCTGGTGTGGCTTAGTTGATTGACAGATTTCACTGGCGTGAAGTGGTCGTTTATCGGCTGGCCCTCTGATATGAGGTGGTTGTTGATTGGTGGGCGTCGATTGCCTGGTCTTCAGAAGCAGGTTTGCTTTTGTTTTGGTTTAATTTGGTTTGGTTTTTTTTTTAATTGATGGGGGTGGTTATCGACCCATTAAAATAGGGTTAAACCCATTGCTATGGCCAACCAATAGGCAGTCATTTCCTAGTTGTATGGGAACTTTTAATTTTCACGTGTCCTAGAATCTTAGAATTCTTGAGTTGGAATAAGCCTATCAAAATGCAGCCCACGCGTCGGACGGTTGGGCGGGTCGGGGAGGGGGCGGTCCACAGGCTTGGGCTCAAATCCTGACTGCCATTAAACAAGGCCCTCAATCTCTGTGACACAGTCTCCTGAAGGAGGACACCTCCCTGAAAGGTGGGTTTTCCCAAGATGAAACGCCTTGGCTTGTGGCAGGTGCGTATCACTGCTCAACTTTTACTTCCCATTGCATTTCGCAGAGCTCAGGGTTGCGGCCCAGGGGAGGCTCTGTGGGACATTGTTTGTGGCTCGGTTCTCTCACTTGGTCTTTCCCATCTAAGACTCAGAAGAATTACATGGGAAGATGTAAAACTCCTTGGATGCTCAGGCCTCTTTCATAAAGATACTAATATAATTGGCTTGCAGTAGGGCTCAGGCAGTGGAATTTTTTTTTTATTATTATTATTTTTTTTTTGAGACGGAGTCTCGCTCTGTGGCCCAGGCTGGAGTGCAGTGGCCGGATCTCAGCTCACAGGCAGTGGAATTTTTAAAGCTTCTGTGTGATATTCGGTGTGCATGAAAATAGATCCTGCCCAGCCAGCTCCTTACTTAACTGCCCTTCATGCAGTAGGAAATATTAATAAACAACTTTGATTGGCGAGATCTTGACTGGTCTTAAGCAATGGGCTGCTCTTGTTAAAACCTTGTGGAAATTGTGTAATTAAGAAAGAAATGTAGGGCCGGGCGCGGTGACTCACGCCTATAATCCCAGCACTTTGGGAGGCAGAGATGGGCGGATCACGAGGTCAGGAGATCGAGACCATCTTGGCTAACACGGTGAAACCCCGTCTCTACTAAAAATAAAAGAATTAGCCGGATGCGGTAGCGGGCGCCTGTAGTCCCAGCTACTCGGGAGGCTGAGGCAGGAGAATGGCGTAAACCCGGGAGGCGGAGCTTGCAGTGAGCCGAGATTGCACCACTGCACTCCAGCCTGGGCAACAGAGCAAGACTCCCCGTCTCAAAAAAAAAAAAAAAAAAACAAAAGAAAGAAAGAAAGAAAGAAATGTGATATTCAGATGGAGTATTCTCTGAATATTCCATTCCTGTTACTGCTATTGCTCTTCTTGTTGTTACTTAGAAAATCTGCCTTTATGACTTTCAAAAGTCTAATCTGACTTAAAGCTCAGGTTAGTGAGTTCCACATGGTATGCACTTGAGATTTTCTGAAATTGGATAACAAAATTGTCTCCAGTTCTGATAGAAGCTTTATGTAAACTTTATCCTCTTGAATATTGTATACATTATGCAGAGGCTTTCCTCCTTCCCAAAAGGTTTGTTATCTTTAAATTTGGAAGTTAATTCATGAAAGAAACATGTATTATTTATAAAACGTTGTTAGCCTCTAGTAGAAAACACTTATTTAAAAATGGTATTTATGCTTCCCTGGAGTCAATATGCCTAGGACCCCTGTAATCCTAAAGTCATCCCTATAAAATAATGAGAACTTCTGTCAGGGAGGAAGGGGATTTTAGTCCAGAGTCTTTTCACCATTCATTTCTCCCTAATTTGGAGAAATGTCTAGTTAGTTTAAGGACTGAATATTGAATTTTTCTGCTTAAAGACTGCTGGTGCATCTTCTACCTAAGAAGTACAGAGTTGCTAAAATAATTGATTATTTTCATACTTTTGCTATTTATTACTTACAAAATTGACTTCTCTAGATAAATAATATACACATTTATTATTTTGATAAACTTTTCATATGTTATGTTCACTTTTGATGTTCCACATTTTATAGATTTTAACACATGTATAATGACAGGCGTCCGCCATTATAGTATTGAACAGAGTAGTTTCACAACCCTAAAAATCCTGTGCTTCACCCTTGCATCCCTCCCTTCCCTCTTGCCCCAGGCAAGGGCTCATTTTCTTACTCTCTCCATAGATTTGTCTTTTCCAGAATGTCATACCGTTTTAAAGAAAAAAGTTATTCATGACAAGAACAGTAAGGCAGACTTTATTCAGAGGGACTACTACAGTAGGGTTTTGCGTCAAGAGAGAGATTGGGTTTGACTCCTAATATTAATACAACAAGAAAGAGTGGGCATTTGTAGGCAAGGAGCAAAATAAGGGAGTTGGCTGATGGAAAATTACTAAGAGGAAACATCAGGGTGGAGGGTGAGGATTCTGGTGAAACTGACCGAACAGGATTCTTCTGAAGGCAGGACAGAGTGATCGGCTGTCACTTGGGGGATGGTAGAGGATGAGGAAGCTGATCAGATGTTGAGGGTGGAGGATTCCAGCTAGAGCAGCGTAGCAGGAGAGTCTTGCAAAAATTAGGCAATGCAGAGATGGATGCGGAAGTACAAAAGTCAAGGCCTAATAGGAAGAAGATTCAAAGGAGTCTGGCTGAAGTTTGGTTAAGGATAAACTGTCAGAATCACACCGTCTGTGCCTTTTCAGATTGGCTTCTTTCACCTAGCAATATGCCTTTAAGATTCCTCCATGTCTTTTCATGGCTTGATAGCTCATTTCTTTTTGGTACCGAATAATATTTCATTGTCCGAATGTACCACAGTTTATCATTCACCTACTAAAGGACATTTTGCTTGCTTCCAAGTTTGAACAATTATGAATAAAGCCGCTACCGACGTCCCTGCGCAGGTTTTTGTGTGAATGAAAGTTTTGGGGAAGAATTTTATATTTATAAAAAAGTTTCCAACATAGTACAGAACATTCCCATGTACCCTTTGCCTGGTTTCTCATTGTATTAACATCTTAGGTAAGTACAGTAACATCTTACTGGTGTGTTGTCCAAACTAAGAGATTGACAATTATTTATTATTTTTATTATTATTAGACTTTATTTTTATTTCACTAGTACTTCCACTAATTTTCTTTTACGGTTTCATGATCCAATCCAGGATACCACCTTGTATTAGTAAAATGTTAATTTTAATTTATAGGAGTAATTTGGTTATGTTGCATTTATTAAATATGTTGATAAGACACAGCATATCCTGAGAAAATGAGTGTAAACCTAACAGTTATCAGGAGGCAGTGTTACTTAATGAAATGGACTCATTTAATCATAATGTTATTTAGAATTTTTTTCAAGTTTGTTTTTGTTAGAGGGTCAGATTTCCCCATGTGCAGCAAACAGTGACATAGGATTTGTTTTATAAGGTTGCTGTTTCTAAACCAAACACTGAAGCTTGTTGAAAGAAGGTCATTTTAAAGTCGAGCATTTCAAGACCCAGGAGAAAATGGGTTGCGGAGTTGTAATAAAAGCTGTCAGTGCCTAATTTTTCAAGTTGGTGCGAAGGATGGAGTGTCCAGGTAGTTCTCTAATGAGCATCTCCAAATGTTTTGCTGGCAGAAGGACTCCATGAAAATGACAGAAGAAGTTATTGTGATAGCCAAGTGGGACTACACCGCCCAGCAGGACCAGGAGCTGGACATCAAGAAGAACGAGCGGCTGTGGTTGCTGGACGACTCCAAGACGTGGTGGCGGGTGAGGAACGCGGCCAACAGGACGGGTTATGTGCCGTCCAACTACGTGGAGCGGAAGAACAGCCTGAAGAAGGGCTCCCTGGTGAAGAACCTGAAGGACACACTAGGTGAGTGTTCCACCCTTTGGAGAGAGGAAGCCTTGTGCATTTCAAGGGACACCGTTCATCTTTCTAGTTAGTTTTCTTTTTCAAAAAAAAAAGTCTGTTTTAAATGTTAACATCTTCGTAGATGTCTTTTTTAAAAATCTGAGAATTAAGAGATGAAAATGGAGAAAGAGGATGTTTGTCATTTCCTGGAGATTCTGGAGTTTGGGGTCTTGTGTATGGAGACCCTTCTGTGTGCCTGGGACCCCTGCACAGGTATCTCCTTGTATCAAAACTTTAGAGGACCCTGACTTGGAACTCTCACCTCTAAGTCTACCCAGCTCTGCCAGTGTCGTGACATGAAGTTCTTTCTCTCTTATAAAATCCTGTCCGTTTGGCCTACAACCCTAGAGCAGGGGACAGCCAAAGCACTTTTTCCCACTCTGAAATGGATGCTACGTCACACCACAGTCCCGGGTGCTGTTAGCTAAGAGGCCAGCTGTGTGACATCAGAGGCCGCTCCAGGGTGGGGGCCCAGTTTAGCCATACTGTTGTCCGTTGTCCGGCTCTCTCCCCATGTGCCTCTTGTTTTCCCAGGTGTCAGGATATGGGCAGGGCCCTCCTGGAGTTACACAGAGTTAACGGTGTCCAGTCTTGCCTTTGCATGTGCATGCACACGGGACTGACTGACAGTAGTTACTGCCTCAGATTACCTGAGAAAACAATTGCGAGGACTTTTTTGAAGAATGACTCATCTGACATTTAAAACATTGTTGTTACCTTCTTATGAGTAGAATGTTTTCTGTATCCAGGACAGCAGGTTATCACTTAAGGGCTGGCTATTGAAATGAGTTAATATTATCACCTGTGTCACATTTACTTGGGGTTTTAAAAAATTTTCTAGCGAGGATTTGTTTTCTTTTGGGGAACGGAGAATGAGGAATACGTGGGAAAACTGAAAGTAAAATTATACACCAAACGTGGTGGGTGTTGCAAAATGTTCATCTTCCCTTTTCTGCCATCTTGAAAAGTCTAAACTCCCTCTGCAAAAACCATTGAAAGCCTTCGTGTATTAGGTAGTACTGTTGTGTAGGGATTAGGTTATTACCATGATTTGGAGAGACAAGTGAGACACAGAACTTTGTATGAATCATACCAGCTCACCGGGAATCATAGATTCTCAGCCTGATGGAGAAATTTCATTTTTCATTAGTAATATGATCCTCCACTGAGCTGCCTCCCTTTCATCTGTTTTCCCCCCCACATAAGCATGCCACTTGAAAGAAACAGTTTTATGCGTATAACTCTTGATTAACTGTGGTTACCAAAAAAGAGGGTGGCATGAATAGAGAAAAACTTGAAGATTGCCCTGAGCTTTATTTTTCCAATGTCTGCCTTTCACCAAAGTACCTTCTTTTTAGTGATGCTAAACATTGTTACACTGTTGACTTGTCGTGTCTTCTGTGTGTGTGTGTGTGTGTGTGTGTGTGTGTGTGTGTGTGTGTGTGCGCACAAGATTTCAGTAAAGCATGAAATGCTCAGAGACTGGTAGGAAGTAGAACAAGGCCAGGCGCGTTCTCTGGGTGACCTGGAAATTCCCTTGAAAACCTTGTCATTTTTCTTCCTCAGTGTTTTAGAAGGAGAAAAGACAAAGCCACAAATTAAAACTATGAACCACATCTTCCATCCAGCATGCTTAGTTTTTTCGGGAGCTGTGATCGGTTCAGCCAATGCCTGTACTCCCAGGCTCTCAGACTGAGCCAGCCGCCCATCCTGGAGCCGGTGCTGGGCCCGCGCCCGTCCCCGACAGATGGCCATCCAGCCCTGCTGGAGCTCAGCGACGATGCTCAGCGACGGCTCGAGTAGGCCAATCCCATTTTTGGAGAAAACAGATTGTTAGAAAGCTCTTCCTTAAATAGAGTCAGATTTTTACATTTCTTTAACTTCCTTCCTTTGGCTCTCATTTTGCCCTCTAGGCCTGTGCTGAGTAGGTCAGATCCTGTTCTGTAGCGTGTCAGCTCTCTCATAGGCTTGGTCTCAGTTCAGGCAGGCAGTTCTTGGGAAACAATCCTGTTAAGCATTAGGTATTGTAAAAATACAGATAAAATGATGTTCTGAACTCGTGTATTGAGTATAGCAGTTGATCTTCATAGCCAAAAGGCCCTTGGGGATCAGTATCCCCGTCATGAGGGAGAAATGTCCCCCATTTCTCCCTTTTTTTTTGTTGTTTTGATCTCTTTATCATGCTCACCTAGAAGTTTTTGTTGGACAAAGGGATCTTGTTATATCAGCATGAGTTTTCCCTTGCCCTATTGAGCTGCATCCAATAGAAGAGGAGGCACCCCCTGACTAGGTCTCACCATCATGCAGTAACTTCTGTGCACTTCTGTGCAAAGCTTGTAGGTGTGGCATTGCCAAGAAGGAAAGTGAGAAAGCTTTCCGTAGCCCCTCCTGCCTCTCAGTTGTTTTTTTGTTTGTGTGTGTTTTGTTTTTTGTTTTTTGCTAAAAAGATGGGAGCGAAAGTGTTCATGGCTTCCTATTATTGTTGGTGATGATAACTAAATAGGTAAACCATCAGAATGACAGTATGACTTCAAGCCAATTATGCAGCCAGCAGAAATTATCCCTGCTGTGTATTAGGAGTGAATAAACAGCATCAAAAGCACACCACATGTATACTGACCACGGTTTGTTTTTGTTTTTATTTGTGTTTTTTGAGACAGGGCCCCACTCCGTTGCCTAGGCTGGAGTGCAGTGGCACAATCCCTGCTTACTGCAGTATTGACCTCAGGTGATCCTCTCGAGTGTCTGGGACTATAGGCATGCACCGCCACACCCAGTTATTTTGTGTTTTTTGTAGAGACAGGATGTTGCCATGTTGCACAGACTGATCTTTAACTCCTGGGATCAATCTAGTAACTACTCATGGCATCACCCACATTTGCCATTTTTACTGCTTTGGGAATCCACCTAATTCATAAATCCATGGTAAGATTCCTCCCTGCTTTGGAATAAAATGGCACCGGCCTCCCCAGCAAAGCCACAGTGTTGTGCGTTGCATCTCCAACTGTAGATTAGCCTAACTCTGTGTGGTTCTCTCCTGCTTTCTTGTACTCATTTGCTGTTCTGAAGTTGGTAATAAACTTAATTTTGTCACATACAGTACTTTGTAAGGGTAACTTGAGGAAAGACATAAGTACTTTTGACAAAAAGCTCTCTCATGAGAGTATGTACCTTTTTTCTCTGCAATAATTTAAAATTGAATAAAGCAACCTGAGCTCTTATTTTCACATGGGCAAAACATTTGTGTGCTGGATCTCCTCTCATATTCAGCTTATGATCATGAATAGTCAGAACTTTGCCACAGATAACAGGGAGCGATGATCAAGCACTGTTTCTGCTGGCAGAATCCAGTCGATGTTTTTGAAACGCTCAGACTGCACAGCTCTGAGCTCAGCGGAGAGTGGTTCTGGGCTGAGGTCTGGCCTTGATACTGCAACTCCACTTAGAAAATCATGCAGGCGAGGTGTTGTAAAAGCACTATGCTACATCTTTTGAGATGGGGAAGCTGCTCCCAGGGAGGTATTTTTCAAAGATTTTCCCTCAAGCTACTGAAGAGCAGTTTTTCATTACTACTTTATCACACCAGCTGGAGCCCTGCAAGGCCCCAAAGGTTAATTCTCTTTTCAGTGGTTAACATAGGCTTAAGGGCTGACTCACATTACCCAAAAAGTTATGGTTCCATTTACAACCTGATCATATCCTCAGGAGGGTTTGTTCACAGGCCCACCTGCCCATGGCTCACCCTGCCACCCTACCCACCTGGAACTTCTGCACCCAGCGTGACCTGCCCCAGGGCTTACTCGTCAGCATTCCTGCCAGCGGGACCACACCTAGGCCTAGGGTGGTTAGAAACTTGCCGTGATCAGCTCCAGAACTCGTACCTCTGTGATCCAACCCAGAGCTGGGAGCACAGAGGCTACTGAGAGGGCTCCCTAATGCTAACTGTGAAATAGCCTTTGCACTGGTTTGAGCTGATGCTTTTGGATGGGGACAGGGTGGCTGGCACCCATGGGTGAAATAGGGTTCTAAGAGGCATATCCATGCTAGGATCAACTTTGGAATTGAACTGATCAAAGTCACAAAGGAGTACAGCTGTAGGATTGTTACATAAGATCCAAAAGCAGTGAAAAGCAACACTTGGTGTTACAGTTAAGATTACAATACTCTGGAGGGAGGAAGGCAGAGCCTCAGTAAAGGTACAAGGGCTTCTGTCTTGGTGATCTTGTTTCCTGGGGTCTGTGGGGCAGGCTTATGGGCACACCTGCCTTGTAGGAGTTTGCAAAGCCGACTGCTTATTTCTCTTGGTATTGTACTTTCGTTTTTAAGAAATTTATTTTAGAAAAATATCAGTTCAAAACAACGATCAGGGCCGGGCATGATGGCTTATGCCTGTAATCCCAGTGCTTTGGGAGGCTGAGATAGAAAGATCAGTGGAGGCCAGGAATTCGAGACCAGCCTGGGGAACACAGCAAGACTTCGTCTCTACAAAAAACTTTTTTTAAAAAAATAGCAGAGCGCAGTGGCATGTACCTGTGGTCCCACCTACTCAAGAGGCTGAGTTGGGAGGACTGCGTGAGTCCAGAAGTTGGAGGCCGCAGTGAGCAGTGATTGCAACACTGCACTCCAGCCTGGGCCACAGAGTGAGACCTGTCTCAAAAAATGAACCATAAAAAAACAAAAACAACCATCAGAACAAAATGTGAGAACTTTTAGAGTTCCTGCATCCACTGGGGGACCCTACCCACCAAGTGTCAGCCTCCATCCCAGAGGTCAGGATGGACAGAGCCCCTGCTCTGGCAGAGTGTGTGTTCCACACAGGCTCAGGGACCCGCGAAGCTGTGAGCGTCTCAGAATGAGGAGGGGTGTCATATTGCTGGAGGGACGTTCACAGGGGTGCATGGAGGATGATGCACCCCTGTGAACCAGCCTCCCTGGGCTGTGCACAGGACTCAAGCGTCTCC